TACTGAAAAATGCATCACGGTTTCCACACAAATATGAAGCAGCAATAAAAATAAATGTTTCTTGAGCTGCAAATTATATTAGAATGATTTCTGAAGGATCATGTGACACTGCAGACTGGAGTAATGATGCTGAAAATTCAGCTTTGATCACAGGAATAAATTATATTTTAAATTATATCCTAATAGAAAACAGTTACTTTAAATTGTAATAATATTTCAGATTATTTCTGTTTTTCCTACATTTTTGATCAAATAAATTCAGCCTTGATGAGTGTAAGAGACTTTTTTAATTCTGCAGTGAAAACGAGCTTCCATAGTAATGTCATTCCATGATTTTCTTTCTGTGCAAAATGAAGATAGTTTATCAGTTTAGCAGCTGCTTTTTTCCATGTTATGAAAATGAATGGCGATTTATATTGCCAAGCCTCAAAAATGACCATAAAAGTAGTCTATAGTTAATATTTTAAGTGAACCAATACTTTACACATAAAACATAAAACCAAAAGCAATCCTTTTTTTATGTTCTTAATACCTGTTCCTGGTCTTATTGCGAAAAAATAAAAATCTGATTTGTTTATTAAAATGTTATATATTTATTTTACCAAAGCCAAGTAGACAGGGAAAAACTATATTAGCAAATAATATCATAGCTAATTTTTACCCACTCATTTTAAGTCCTGCTCCTACTGTATTTTATCTGTATATTATTAGTGAACATTGTACAATCAATGAAGGGGGGCTGCCGTGATGGTTGACTTTCTACAACTTTCTCCCATCTCCCGACTGCATCTCTGGCGCTCAGCCACAGTGATCTTTGGGTTCTTCTTTACCTCTCTCACCAAGGCTCTTCTCCCCCGATAGCTCAGTTTGGCCGGACGGCCAGCTCTAGGAAGGGTTCTGGTCGTCCCAAACGTCTTCCATTTAAGGAATGGAGGCCACTGTGCTCTTGGGAACCTTAAGTGCAGCAGAATTTTTTTTGTAACCTTGGCCAGATCTGTGCCTTGCCACAATTCTGTCTCTGAGCTCTTCAGGTAGTTCCTTTGACCTCATGATTCTCATTTGCTCTGACATGCACTGTGAGCTGTAAGGTCTTATATAGACAGGTGTGTGGCTTTCCTAATCAAGTCCAATCAGTATAATCAAACACAGCTGGACTCAAATGAAGGTGTAGAACCATCTCAAGGATGATCAGAAGAAATGGACAGCACTTGAGTTAAATATATGAGTGTCACAGCAAAGGGTCTGAATACCTAGGACCATGTGATATTTCAGTTTTTTTTTTTTAATAAATCTGCAAAAATGTCAACAATTCTGTGTTTTTCTGTCAATATGGGGTGCTGTGTGTACATTAATGAGGAAAAAAAATTAACTTAAATGATTTTAGCAAATGGCTGCAATATAACAAAGAGTGAAAAATGTAAGGGGGTCTGAATACTTTCCGTACCCACTGTATATGTGTGTGTCAGATATTTTTAATATTATTCATTTTTTTGTCCATGGAGGCAATCAGTAGGCTAATTTCTAATGAGGAGACCAATTTATATGACAGATTTTAATGAAGGCTTTTATTCATATGTAAACATTGTTTAATTACCATTATAACTTAAACTATCTCACAAATTTTTGCTCACTCAGTGTTTTTTTAATTTTACAGTTGGGTAATTTTGTTGCAGTAGCACGAGATAGCTTGATTTCAAACTTTGAATTGAATAAAAAATGACAAGTAAACAGTCAGTAATAAAATAAGAACAAATAAAGAAATTAATAATGATAACACAAATACAAAATAACGAGAGGCCTACAAATGAAATAAATTGCTTTTTAGTTTATCAGGTCTAACAGTAGGGCTATTAAGAGATTTTTTTTTTTTTACCAATTATCCAAATAATGTTTAGTCCTAGAAAGCTATTATTATCAGAACACGGGAGCATAACATAGCGGTTAGCAGATCAATGAATGAGAGGGCAGCGTTACCAGAGATGCCCATATACCACACCATGTTACAGTACAGTAGGGTTATTGCAGACAGAAACAATACTGTACTACATCGATGTTTCCTGTCAGCTTGATTTTTGAGTGGACTTTGCTGTTCCGATGAGCATGAGCGGTATATGAGTGGAGCGACTGAGTGGAGCACACATAGAGCCGGATAACAAGCAGAGCGTCACACCATGTGAAAGTGAAACCTGAGCAGTGAACTCATTTTCGGCAGCCGAAATTTCGGTGCATCTCTAATTATTGGCGACATCAGAAATGGATATTATATAGTAGATGCTTTTTGAACATTTTAGCAATTTAAAAATATTAAAAGGTGGCGCTCTTGTCAAGCAGTCTTACACGTTTCAAATGTCCTGTCCACAGGATCGCCCTTATTTTTAATTTTTCAAAAACTCCGGTTGCAGTGTCATCGTATAGACAGTTTTTGGCTTGTGACTAGGGATGGGCGGATCGATCCTCAAGTATCGATACTTTCGATACTGATGTTGTATCGAAAGGATCGATCCTCACATAAAAATATCGACTCTAAAGTGCATTTTTAACCATTAATTTGATTTATTTATCAAGAAATTCGGTGCACAAAAAAGCCTCTAAGTATATTATCGAATAATTGTGTTGGATAGAACCACTGCTGCTGCTCATCAGAACACACGCAAATGCTGAGAGACAGAACCAATCGATCACAGACAGCGTTCGCTGCTGGCGCATGGCTCAGAGTGCTTGTTCAAATAGGGCTGCGTTTCCCAAAAACATCAGAAGCGTAAGTAGATTTTATGAAACCATTGCCACATTATTACATTAGCCTACATAAAATTGTTACTATATATCAAATTAATACTGAAAAATGCATCACGGTTTCCACACAAATATGAAGCAGCAATAATAATAAATGTTTCTTGAGCAGCAAATGAGCATATTAGAATGATTTCTGAAGATCATGTGACACTGAAAACTGGAGTAATGATGCTGAAAATTCAGCTTTGATCACAGATGCATTTTAAATGATATATTAAAATAGAAAATTGTTATTTGAATTGTTATTTTTCACAATATTTTTTTTTGTTCAAATAATTGCAGCCTTGGTGAGCATGAGACTTAAGAAAATATGACAAAATCTCACTGACCCAAACTGACCAAACTTTTGTGTACATGTAATATTTATTCAAAATTGGCTAGTTTGTGCAAAGTTCCCATGAAAGGGAACGTGTGAATCATCGGGTGTCAGAAACCGCTGACACGGATGTACACACTTTCTAAACGCTTCGCTAGTGCTCGCCATAGTAGGAAAGAAAAAGCTCTTACTTTGCTTTTTGGAATGCACGCTTCAAACAGACCATGTTAAAAAACATGGCTTTAAAATCTAATATTAAGTGAGTATAATTACTGATTATATTCTTTTAATAATTTAAAAGATCAGTTTAGTTTAGAGGTATCAGCGATACTGGGCTTGAAAATATCGGTATCGGATCGAAAATAAAATAAGAGGTATCGCCCACCCCTACCTGTGATGTCGGTGCCTGCGCTGTTATCTCTGCCTACTGGAGACTTTTTCTGGATTCTGATTGGCCAACATGGCTTTATGGTTGAGATTATATCGCCATCTGTTGGTTTGGCATGCTCTTGACAGTGCTTCATAGCATGTGTTTGCGTTTTCGTGTACGGAGATTTTTTTTTAAAACGGAAGAATGAAAAACCCGTGTACGTGTGGACATGGCCTGAATGTTTTTCTTGATCAAGAAACAGTCTAATTTAGAAATTCTAAAGAAACACAAATACGCCTTAGAGTAACTTCATCACAAATTATATTCTCATGTTTGCATGTTTGTAAAAAAATTATTATTTCTATTTTTGTCTGGATTTGTTTGTTAAATATATGTAAATTATCAGCTTTGATCACTGCAATATGTGGAATAGTAGGCTATACATTTCATTTAAGAAGGAAAAAAGTCCACGAATACATCAAAATAAATTAATGCAAGAAATAACATATTTCTGTAGTGCTGCTTTGGGATCTGTACATTTTTCATGCACTCACTGTAAAGAATAAAGACTTTTGTATAATTCGATTTTTCATCTTTAATTTTTAGAAAAATAGGTGTCAAGAAGAAACAAACAGAAGATATTACTGATTTTTAATGGCTCATTTACAAAAAGTAACTTGAGTGTTGCCATTTTAATTTAGGGAAATTTAATTTTGTATAGTTGTCATTTGAATTTAATTTGTTTGCTAAATAAAACATTGATGCAAATCTCCTTCCTTTTATAAACAGGTGCATAGGGACACAAGAAAGAGCTCTCTGGAATGGCTCGGATATCTTTGTAGTGGTGGTAGCACTGAAACTACAGACTCAGTGAAAAACAAGATCAGTTTCACCCAGGACACGTCCAAAAACACAGTGTTTCTACAGGGAAAGAATTTTGAGACTGAGGACTCAGCTGTGTATTATTGTGCAAGATACACACAGTGTCTAAACAAGCCACAGCTCTGTACAAAACAAGTCTAAACACATTGAACAAATGAACATCAGCTTAACTGGTTTTATTCAACTCAAAATATTATTTAACATGACTGAAAACATGACTATACCAACAAAAGTTATTTTTGTGGTTAAGATCCGGTTTAAATAATTCTTTAAGGTAACAACTGCACGTATTCACTCATTACAGTGTATTTTACAATTCCACTTATAAACCATGTCTTATCCGTGTGAGTGCAGTGAGATTGTGAGTACAGTCAATTTTTTCAAGAGTTTTTTTAGCATTATTAAACAGTTTTCCACTGAAACATGATACAACCATTATGACCACAAAATTCCCATACTCTCAAGACTTTATTTTATAAATCAAGTACAAAATCAGACAAATAATTTAGCATTATCATTAATAATTACCATAAGAACTAATATCAGATGTTTGCATCAATGCAAATCTCCGCCCTTAACAGGAGCACACAGACAGAATAAAAGCTCTTTGTGTTTTACAGAGCCATAGCACAGTACAAATACAAGCAGCTTCATGTACTTTATATCAGCACTGCTAGTTTTAGCAGCTGCACCCTGTGAGTATACTACTGTATATATATATATATATATATATATATATATAAACAAATAAATATTTATTGAAAATCAAATGTGGAGTTTAGTTTGTATTACTGAAAATGTTTTAATTGTTGTTCGTAGGTCTTTTCTGCATTGAGCTGGATCAGCCTCCTGTAATGGTTGTAAAACCAGGGGAAACATTTACCATCGCCTGTAAGATCACTGGATATTCAGCCTCAGGTGGAGGCTACACAAACTGGATCAGACATTCAAGTGGAAAACCGATGGAATGGATCGGCTGGTACCACACTTCCAGCAGCAATGGTGTCAAAGATTCTCTCAAAAATAAGATCAGTTTCTCTTCTGAATCCTCCAGCAACGCAGTTATTTTAACAGGAAAAAACTTCAACACTGAGGACACTGCTGTGTATTACTGTGCTCGAGATACACTGTGCTACAACCTGTCACAGGACCTGTACAAAAACCCCGAACCACTGAACACATTTTTCAATAAAACAAAGTTATACATTGCAGATCCTTTCCATCTTATGACATAATTCCAAAGCCAATATGGCAAAATCAAAGCAAATAAATAAATAAAATACTGCACACTGAATGGGTCAGTTGATGTTTTAGCTTTTGTAAATCAGTTATATTTTTGTATTGAATTAATCTGCTAAATGTCAGGTAACAACCTTGGGTGCACAATTGATCCCACATTTAAGAATAATTTAGATGCCAGAAGAGGGCATCCTTTCATGATAAAAAAAAGAAGTTTTTTTTCAGGTTTTGTTTGATTGAACACACCCACTCTGTGTGTCCCTACGCATTAGCAAATATATCAATGCAAACTCAAATGCCATATTTAAACAACTGGTAAATGAGTGATTTATCTGAAGAGGAGAGACAATGTTCTCCATAAATCTCCTTCTGCTGTTGGTGGTGGCTGTACACAGTGAGTGTTTTTAGTTTAGGGGGTTTTATTTAGGCAGTCTTACAATGTAACATCCAATCCTGTTTCGTCAGTATTGTAGTTAATTTGATGTGTAAAGCATTTTTCTCTCTGTTTAAGTGTTTATTGTCAGGTTGTGCTCACACAGAGCAGTCAGTAACTGTGTCTCCAGGTGGATCTGTTAAACTGACCTGTGCCTGCAGTGGATTCACTCTTAGTAGCTATAGGATGCACTGGATCCGTCAGGCCCCTGGAAAAGGACTGGAATGGATTATTTATTATTATGATGATTCTTATAAGAGATCAGCTCAGTCAGTGCAGGGCAGATTCACAGCCAGTGGCATAAGTTTGCTTTCAAAAGTGGTGGGGACACCGCGCAACTCGTTTGGCTAGTTTTTTATTTAATAACCTAATTTACTTGGGGACTGGGTTTAGAGTTGGACAAACTTAATTTTTGCTTTTCAAAAATACATCAATGTACCAGGGGCGGCTCCAGAGAATTTTGAACGCAGGTGCTGAGGGTGCTAGATCACTGACAGAGGGAGCTGGGCAATTCAGGGCTCCAGACTCATTCTTCCCACTGGTCGCTCTTTTGCTATTAACTTTCTCAGCTGGTTGCACGAGTACGTTTTTTTTTTTTGCGCTACAACATGCTATTAATCAATGCATGCTGATGAACTTTTATCGTAGTTTATAGTTATATGGAAACGAAAGTAGTTAACATTCAACCCGTTCTTTTTCATCAGTAGTATTATTTGTGATTTGAAGTTTGTGAACGGGAGTTCCTCTTTTGACATGTTATAAGCCGGCTTCGGATGCTTTCACATTTTCGATTTCACGATCTTGTCAGGTTTTACAATGAAATATAATTGTCTGTTTTGCTTACATCTATAGACCTTTCACCTTTTAAGACAAAAAAAAAAAAGATGGATT